ACTTTCAGGTATTATAGAAGTTGTCGACTTACATAAGTGTTGAAATTTACAAGCTTTTTCCTTTTACCATTATCGAGATACAATCGTTCGAAGTTGAAAAAACGTCCGTGCGTTACCTGCGTTTCGGCTGTATAGTATTTGACTAACTATATAATATTATTTTTTTGTTTTAGGACTTCGAGTAACAACTTGGTACAAATGTCTCAATTCTAAATTTCACAAGAAGAATTTTTTATATATCATCAATTGAAACAAAAGAAATATTTTCATCTTTACCATTCTAAGATGATGCGATTTTCCTCATTTTGTATTTAATGAGATTTACGCTGCCATCAAGAAGTATCCTATTTACTTTAATGGTTGGCATTCAAAGTTTAGTAAGAGACACTGACCAAAATTTAGCCCACAATCAAAATATTTCGCTGTATAAAATAACCAATTCGGGTAGAATAGGCATGCATAGAATAGATCAAAACGAAAAATTGCCGGCAAGTCTATAATTGACGTCAATTTGCAATTTACTATCAAATTTCATTCTATTGCTATCTATTATTCTTATATGATGTTCCTGATAACTGTTCAATTATATGATGAACATTACAGCAAAATACTAACAATCAGTACCAAGAAAGAATCATTTAAACTATTGATCTTTAATGCAGATTGAATAGTAATTGATCGAATGTCAATCATTAGTGATGACCTATCGTTTCTCGTTCACTGAAATAAAAAGAACCGCAGTGAAAATGGAACAGATTTGTATTTCGCATCGCCCCCGAGTTTCTGTGATCTTTTCTTGACACTTGTTCAGTTTCTCTTTAAATTCTCTTAAAAGATTTGCGTTTATTGATCTTATGATTTATCTTACAAAATTTGTTCAGCAGAATATGAGAGCATAAAAGAGAGTAATACAAAAAGTATGTAGAAACAAAAAAATCGATCACAACAGCTTTGTATGGTTAATTGCAACGATTGTACCATACGTTGCATCTACGAGTTTTGCATATGAATTTCACGACCTTTTGGTATGCACTGTACTACTATCGTTATTAGTGGTTCATAACATGACGAAACACGGCCACAATCAGGAGGAGGCACTTTAAGGTTACTTTACTAATGAACCCGCAAATAAAATAGTTACAATTTACTTTTGAAAAGTAAATCATTTGAGAAGTCAAAAGTGGCTCTTCGTGGTAGGATATCAGTATACATTTTATGAATTTATCTGAGAAAAGTTTTGAAAACTTTATATCAGCATCCTGTATACAGTACACAATGCCCAAACCTTTCTTATACCTATAGTACTTCTTGTGCTATCCCATCACCAATAATTATGTTTAGTCAAAGTAGTCGATTGGATTATGTTTTCTCTACTCAAAGAACAGTCAAACGTCGAAAGAAGTAACTTACGTGTTCTCCCAGAAAGGCAAAATGTTGCTTGGACCTTCAGCAACAAGGATCTCAATACTGATTACTATAAATCCGAAATGATTCTATGTTAGTACTAGGTACTGGAAGGGATCCGAGAAAAATCATTTTAGAGGCGATCAATGAGGACTGATAGCAAACCACTAATTCTTAGAAAACATGAAAACAGTCAGGCCCACGCCCACTCTCAATTCTGCCGTAGAAACTATGGATTGTGAGGGTAAAGTATGAGAATATTGATACACTGAAAAAAAAAGGTTCCATGCGGAACTTAAAAAGTTTCGTGGTGCTTTACTATACTTCAAAAGGTTTCGATCGGAAACACGAAACCTTGTAGTAGTTCAGTTCCATCAGAGGTTTTGCAAAAAACCTTTTCAAGGTTTCGGATTCAACAAGGTGTCGTAATAAACCTTTT